TGGACCTCCTGGAGAAAAAGGAGCTGTGGGGCCTCCCGGTCCCCCGGGAGAGAAAGGAGACATCGGCCCTGTGGGCTCTGGGCCACCCGGGCTCCCTGGACCTCCAGGAGAAAGGGGACCCATAGGGCCAGCTGGCCATGGGTCTGTCGGGACTCCTGGACCTCCAGGGAAAGGGGGGCCAATGGGACCAGCTGGTCCTGTGTCTCTTGGGCCACCAGGGCCTCGTGGAGAGAAAGGATATCGGGGCGTCAGGGGTCCTCCCGGGCCACCTGGAAGCACTTTCTGCCCTGCCAAGTCTCCTGAGAAAAATGGAGGTAATCATCACTTTTACGTCAAATACAATCCTGTGACCTTCTTAGATGTAGCGTAATATATTTTATCTCCTTTCGTGATTGGATTTCTTTCTCCTTACCATTGTATAAGTGTAGGTAGATTAAAGACATGAACACACGCACACACATACAAACACACACACACACACACACACACACACACACACACACACACACACACAAACACACACAACAAGACTGGCAATGAAAACATACATTGCCATGGCGACGGTATTTGTTGACAGGGTTATTGTTTGCATGGCACTGCAAAATGTATCATGCCTTTGCGGAAGCCTTGTTGTAGTCTACCATTGGTTTGTTGAAAATAACATTCGAGGTCACAATTCTCTGGGAGAATCTGCCCTGTGAGCCCCAGGGCTCGTTCACTATTCACTAAGGGGAGGGTAGGAGTGATCTCCTTAACTGAACTGTAGTATCTGTTCAGACCTTAACAAGTAACGTAACAAGGTACATGGGTACTTTCCTATAGTTATCACCGGCAGCAGTATAAAGAATAAACATCGATTGTCAACAGTTTCATTGCATCTTTAGTAGATTACTCCTAACCTTCCATGAGTGTATAGTCAACAAGCCCTTGGGTCATAGAAGTAGGGCATCCCCGGCAGCCACAATGTTCCAAGGGCTTCCAGAAATTTCACTAAGCCTGACCGTGGGCATAAAAGTGTGTCAACAAGCTGGGAGACATTCCTGTGAACATTCCATGCACGTGGACAAAATTCCTGTACAATTCCTAGTAAGAATTCTTGCAGACTGAACACAATACTGTACCATTAGGCGTCGCCAAACACACACACAAACGGAAACACACACACAAGGACGCACAAACACAGAGAGAGAGAGAGAGAGAGAGAAAGAGAGAGAGAGACACAAACCCCTTTTTCCACATTTTGAGAGGGTGATACTTCTGAATCATTATCATCAACGATATGTCCTAGAATTCCCATTAGAATATCCTGCTATATGAATAAATGAGACTTATTTGCAAAATCATACAGGAAGGCTAATTGCCTTTACAGTTAAATATACTATTCCAGTGGTACAATACAATAATAGGAGACAGACAACTACTGTCTGGAAAATCCTTATACTTCCTTTACTGCGCTAACTATTATGGGGTTTGACTTCTTCTGTGAAGGCAGTGGATAATGTATAGTCCCACATAATGAGTGGGGTTTTGTGATCTTGGTAGAAACGTAGTCTTTTGGTGATCTTGATGGAATGATAGAGAAGTTAATACATTAATAACTTAAAGATACTCCTTTTTTGTAGTCCCTTGCCCTAAAGGTTATACAAAGTGGAGAGGAACATGCTACAAGTTTTATACCGGTAACAGAAAAAGGGCGTTCAACGAATCGATCAAGTCCTGTCGCGAAGATGGCGGTACCCTTGCCATGCCCCGAGACGCGGAAACCCAGGCCTTCCTGGTTTCCTTGCTACCAGTTTCCAGATCCAGTTGGTGGTGGATTGGTCTTCATGATCAGCGAGAAGAGGGAAGGTTTGAGTGGGTGGATGGTTCTGCACTAGGGGAGTTCAACCTGTGGATATCTGGACATCCAAATGGCCCTTTTGCACATTTAGATTGTGTCGCTTCATCTAAGACAAAGTGGGGTGTCTCGCCATGCCAAAATCAAATCCCCTTCTTCTGTCAGGTCCCTCCAGGTTAGAGTGCTTCATATACTTACTTTATCGACATCATCGCAAGTAAAGCCACTCTGACTAAATTTTATGGATAACATCCTCGGAACTAAATTCTCAAAAGACTCCCAAAAATACTGCCAGAGGGCGAATAAAAAAATCTAACAAAAAAGGACAAAAAATGCTGCTAAACCTCAGGAACACAATATGCTGGCATTGCGAATTTGCGTTATGCTTAACTATTTTTAAGAGAGGCCTGGTCATGCTGGCCTTTTGAGTCTACACCGTACTGAGTTCTGGAGTTCTGCGGAGCCTTGCTGCGCAGGGTGCTGCCCTACGTAGTTACCGCCTGCTCCCTATTGTCAATAGCTACGGCGGAGTACGAAAGATGGCACCCAGGCTTCAGAGAAGGCAATTTGTTTAAAAAACAGAAATCAAAGCGCGCGGATGTCATCCAGAAAATTGTGACCTGATAATATGAATCAATGTTGTCATTGAATCAACAACATCATAACCTTAGAAATAGCTTCAGATCAGGAATTCATTAGAACATGGTTTATGTTTTACAGCACTTACCTAGGTGACATGTCGAGCTCTTATCAACGCTATCATACATAAACGTTGGAGCCGGAGGAAAAGTCGAATTTAAGAATTGGAATTGAATAAGCCAGATTTAATACAGATGTTCTTGCTCTGAATGTTTTTATTTATGATTAGGCCATGTTGATTTGATTATATGGATGACATCCTCCGGGAGCCCCAAAACTGATGCGCGCGTGCGAATAAAAAAAAAAGTTGTGCAAAAAAAAAGTTCTTTTCATTATGAAATCTACGTGGTCATGAGGGTTGAGCAAATGGCACAGAATATGGTTTGGCGAATAATCTAGTCTTCAAGTTCATTTCTTTACAATTTCGTCTTTTTTCGTTTGATTTTGGCATTCTACGACATTGGTATAGTTTTTATTAATTTTTTTGTAACTTATGGTATATTTTTGCTCATTTTGCAACTGTTTTGTACGATTTACAGTATGGTTGAAAACTTTTTTTTTTTGGAAACGGCCGAAAATTCATGCGCGCGCGGATGTCATCCATATAATCAAATCAACATGGCCTTAGATTACTCAGCTTTATATAGTCTTGTGAAACAGAGCGAGCATTGTTTAAAATTGTTTAATCTTAATATCATGATGCTTGTTTAAAAATATTCTTACGACTCCAGCAAAAGCAAATGTTAAAAAAATACCTGTTGCACTTATTTGAATTGATTTCTTTTCTTAGATGTAAGAATTGACCAATGCTTAATCTATAGGCAGAAAATAAACAAAAAACATATTAACAACGGCAAACCTTTCAGTTTGGTGCACAAAGATACAGAAAGTAATTATCTAGTGTCATAGGCCTACTGTATAGAAGTCATATTATATAAATGCAGGGCCCCATTTTGTTTGGGACGTTAGCATGGTTTTTGACTGACCCACTGAATGCTTAGGAATACAGGTGTTATGTGGCCTGAAATATAGCAGACGTTATATAACAAAAAGCAGTTACTCATTACGACAAGCAACTGGATATGATTTTGAAAACGTCAGACGTTTCAGATAAGCTCCTGTTCTGTATAACAGGAGCTTTCTGACTAATTTGCAATATCTTGTCCTTACTTGTTTGACTTTTGTTCCCTTTTCAACCTCCAAAAATTTGTCTTCACTTATTTGCATATCAATGAATAGTTTGTGCTTATAAACCTGCTTTCCCCTCTGGTCTGTCAGTCACTGACTAAAGCTAGTGGGTACTAGCTGAAACGTTTGACGTTTTCAAAATCATATCCAGTTGCTTGAGTAACTGCTTTTTGGCGTATCGTATTACCTGGATGTCTAACCTTCATCGGCGTAGACGTGATACTATATCAAAGACTTGTGATATCCCTTATTGTTTGAATGATTATGATATAGATATGTTAGATTTTATTCGACATTAGGTCTTATTCAACACACTTATTTTATTGTTGTTACTCTTTATGTAGTTTGCCATACAATGTACCATGTGCATTTGTCGTGCAATAAAGTTCTCTCTATATACTACCCATGGTGTAGGCTGGAGCATTTCATAACAATGGCCATAGTTGGGTTATCCTGGAGTAGTAAGTGAAATAAGCAGTATTTGCTGTTAAATATGTCTCTCGTTGTTATGGTTTTATTATCATTATTATTATTGTTATCATGGGACCCGGATATAGAATCGGGTTGCTTTATGTCACCGTAACTCTTTTGAATGGTAGCATCTGGTAGCAAAATCTATTTGGAGGCTTAACACATGGAATACAAAGCTAAGTATAACATCAGATGACTAAGATATCTGTAAAGATACTGTAAATATGTCTTAGTTTTTTAACGTCATATATGCTTTGCATATGCGCTTTATATGTCACTCACACTGGGTATAGAAAGCTCTTTAACTTATGTATTTTAATCATATAACTTCATGCATGTCAAATTCATTAAATCTCCACTCTTCGTTACAAATTCTTGTGTCCTACAATGTTATTGTCGATTTTAGCTATTTGCCTGTCAATTTTAGAGTGATTTTAACGTGTTCCCAAATTTTATCTAGAACATCGCTGACTAAAATTATGTATAAGTGATAAATAAGTTGATCGTTTAATTTTAGTATGTATTTGTAGTAGTATGAAGATCTGGCTGTGTTTGTAAACAAGCCTGACAATTCGGCCTTCGGCTGCAACTGGGCTGTATTTTTTAGAGAATTGAATAAACCATTCTACGAAAATCTGTAGTTTGAATAAAACAGACACGTCGATTATAGCGAATATCTTGACTTGATGACGATAGAGTTTTAAAATAGAAATTAATGTTTTTAAAGACAAGTGTAGTAAGAGGAACTAAATTTGTCAGCAATTGTAGTTTTCTCTGCTAAACAAAAACTGTACCTGTAGTGCAAAGTAAAGAATACATTATGCTAAAAATGGAAAGTAAAATTTTATACTAGTAATGAGTTAAGTAAGCCAGGTGTTTTTGTATGTTTTTGAGTATGATAATATGTATGCGCTTCTTAGATCAGTTTTCTGAAAGTCTTGTGCCACAGACTGAGCATCATTATTAATATTATAATGTTTTAGGAACTGTTACGTTCTGAGTTGAGCAAAGGCAATGATTGTAAAAACAAAATGAATTTAGTTTTTTTTAGCACGCAAAAACCAGATCTCATTAGCAATAAAGGACGACGTAAGCATGATCCTTTGTCACGACTCTCCTTTATACAATACAATGCAATGCAATAGAATGCAGTTGCATCCAGGCATTCAGCATACTAGTAATAAAATCTTCAAACCATAACAGCAAGTTGCCTGAAAGTAAAAAAAAAAAAAAACGAATGCAGTTTTTTTTTCTTTGATTTCATGCTACACTGGAAAATAACAGGAATAATGTAAGGAAAAATCTTGCAATTTGATGCACACAGATTCATAATATTTTTAGAATCGTGTGTTCTTTCTAGCTCCCCTGTTTTTATCTAGACTTTAAGTTTGATTGAATATTTACTATCTTTTTGTAACCTAGTACGGTGTGACCTCGTAGAGGATGAACTGTACTGAAGGTTACAGTTATAGGTTAAGTAAAAATAATTTCTACACCTTTGCCCGTATATGAGAGAAGTGTCAACCTCTATTCCTATAGCCCTTAGTGTCTACTACTGCAGGGGACTACTGATAGCACTCTGTGTTCAGATTTATACTCTTTGTCTTTCTCATAAGTTTCTACTGCGAGAATACAATCCATTTTTTTCCAGTGTGAAACTAACATTCAAAATCTAGCCCAGTTTTCACTTCATTTTAGGACTATACTTGTAGGACTATTACCATACGTCGCTCTGTTTATAGGACTTTTTTCTGGAACCATACGCCAATTACACAGTGTAAGAGTATATTTTAATCTCTGAGATTAAACATTTGGAATGTATTAATATCGAACTTAATGTTTGCCTCACTGTTCGTAATGCCCTAACAGGTCACCTTACAAAAATAAAATCTTTTGACGTGCAGTTGGAATTAAAAACCCAGAGCTTGTCTATTGCGTCACATTTTCAGTTATACAAAGTCATATAGAAGCGCAAAGCTTAACTTTGGCTAGCTCCCCTTACGCACAACAGTCCTCCTTAACTGAAGGTAAGAAGAGTAGTGACATCTAGCATTTCCTGTAGGTATTGCAATTAGTTACTTAGTGTTTTAGAACTGCATACAGTATGCGTCGAGCTATGATTTCTTTACCTTTACCATTAGATTTACCTTCCTCTCGCTTGAAATACAAAAGCGACGCTTAGCGGATTTAGGTCAAATTTCAGCCCGTCATACATTGGTCAGGGCTTATAAAGTAACTTAAAGAAAGGCGTCAGTTTGTTATGTTTTCAATTTGGCTGGGTCGATCAGTCTTCTTTTTCTCTAAAAGTATGTTGTTTTTTTAAGTGCAGTGGTTTGACCCCTTAAGCTTCCTGTACAAGAATCGAGACGATACAGCTATGATCTTTTGTAAATTATTTCTTCGTGTTCAGTTGATAGGACGTTATCCTCACCTCCTTAGAAATGAATTTACTGTGAAAGTTACGCAGGCTTTCTCCGAATCAAGAGGTCCCGGGTTTGAATCCTGCCATGTCACCAAATATTTTCCCTTAAGAAAGGTACTTAAACAATCCTTGTCCTGCGGAGCACAACAATTGTTGTTATGCTCATACAGTATCATCTATATAACACCTTGTGTAGGTACGATTTGGGGGTATTTCTCGTGCAACGCTTCACACCGCAGCGAAACGTAACAAATGCAGAAGTAACTATGCCACTGCAGAGCAAAAACATTTGGGGCTCTATGATCTAATTGAGACATAGAATTATTGAAAAATATTGTGCCAGGAATGCCAGCAGGACAATGGTTAATACAGCTTTCCTCACGTACCTCACTCAGGTGGAAATGAGTAACTAGCTTCTGTTAGGGACGTCCAATAAACGTAGGATATTAGATGGAGGTCC